CCCCAAAACCCCAAAACCCCAAAACCCCACAAGATCAGAATATATGTAATAAAACGAAATTTAATGGAAATTGAATATCTTTATTATAAAATATAAATCTATGTCAAAAGAGGAACCTAAAGAGGCAGCGACAACTGCTGTTGCTGATACTAAAGAAGACAAACCGTACTTTTACTTGCTTTAATCAATATTCTTAGAGAGGTGGGCACCATGAAAAAGGGAGATTACATGATCCACGTAGGTTATAGTGCAAATTTATTTGGATATATAGGTGTTCATAGAAAGTGCTAAATAACTTAAAATGACCAAAGAGGGAGAGACTGTAGACCCTATAATCGAGGTATCATGCATGAATGAGAAGAAATTCACCACTGCCAAGGATGATATTGGAGCAGCAGGTGTAGTGAGTTGGCAAGAACACATATTCTTCGAGCCAAGGAATGTCGTAAGTATAGCCCATGATGTTTAAATCTGTTCTATTAGTAAGTAGATCAAATAGAAGCGGCAAAGATATCAATAAAGTTGCTAGACAAAGGATACTTCAAGGATGCACTGATAGGCATGTACGAATTCGACGTAGCTTACATCTACTTTATGAAGTAGCACCTACTACTGCACAAATGGGTAGCCCTCTCTAATCCTGCCTCGCCAGATTTCAACGAAGTGACAGGCTATTTGAAACTGAGTATAACTGTGGCAGCCTCAGGTGATGAATAAGTTCAAATTACCGATGATCCAGGCACAGGTGGAGACGAAGAATCAGTTCTGATGCCGCCCTCAATCAAGCCAGAGTACTATCAACTCAAGTTCAGATTTTTCAAGGCAGAAAAGTTACCTATCATGGATGCTGCAATCTTTGGTAAAGGTGGCTCTATTGATGCATATCTTATCTGCAACTATATGAATCAAAAGTTGAAGACTAAAGTAGTAACAATGAAGAATGAAGTCGTATATTGGCATCAAGAATTTTGGATCCCAGTTCAGCTGCCCATAATGTCAGGCAGACTGGTTATGAAGCTTTTCGATGAGGATAAGTTGAAGGACGAAATAGTGGGTTCAATTATTTTCAGTCTAAAGGAATGCATCAATAAAAAGAATGGTCTGTTCTTTTGGAAGAATATTTATGGTGCCCCTATTGATAGGTCTGGCGATAACACTGATAAGATGAACAACAACCCTGATCTTGGAAGCACTTGGAAGGGTAGAATTCTGATGCAGGTAGTTGCTGAGAAGACTGACAAGCCTATGATAAAGTGTGTGGATATGGACGAAAAGACCAGAGATATCTGTACTCCCCACACTATTCCTCATGAATACGAAATCATTGCTGAAATCGGATTAGGTATCGCTCTGCCAGAAGCAAAGAAGTACAACGTGAAGATTAAAGTAGCAGACTTTGAAGTGAAGACTGAGAAGCCTTAATTCGCAGAGAACACTTTCAACAGATGGAACCAGAGATTCGCTAAAACTGTCTATAGTGTGAGCTATCAGGATATCTATGATATGGGCAGAGTCTATGTCTATCTAATGGACGGAGAAAATCCCATCAGTTTCACCTCTATGGATGTCAGCGAGTTCATGGATCCAAATGCCTAGCTCAAATGGCTTGAACTTCAACCAGATCTCGCAGTCGGCAAGGTCAAAGAACCACATAAGGCAGGTATTGTCTCAATCAAGCTGGCTATTCACGATAAGACCAAGAATGGTCCAATTGATTTCCAACAATTCGACTCTTGGAAGAAACCCCCTCCCAAGAGACCTAGAAACTACAAGGTCAGAGCTTATATCTTCCAATGCAGAGATTTACCTGCTGCTGATAGTGATGGTCAGTCTGATCCATATATCTGCATATGGGATACTAGCAAGACAATTTAGTAAACCAGATACATCGAAGACAACGTGAATCCCCTTTATTATGAAACTATTGAGTTAGTCTACGAAGCAAACTAGGTCGAAGATCTTCCCCCATTTGTCCTCGACATTTATGACAAGGACTTCAATCCCTTAGACTCAGATGATTTCATCTGTAGAGCAATCATTCCAATCAAGGAAGCAGCTGCTGCAATTGAAAAGGACGAGATTCCAAGGCCTAACTGGCACCATTGCCGTCTAAAGGCAGGTGCACCTGAGTGTGGAGAGGTTCTTGTCTCCTTCGCAATTGTGAGTGATGACTTCAACTTCAAGACTCCTCTTAAATACATGAACCTTATGGATACAGTCAAATTCGATGAGTACAACATTGAGATCAACATCCTTGGTCTTAGAGACTTGTAATCAGTCGGTATTCTCCCAGTTAAGAAGGCCTTCATTCAGTTTAACCTCAAGAGTTTAGTCCCACCAGATCTTGGCCAAGCCATTGAAAATATCAAGACACAACCAGGCCCAGCTGGCGCTAACCCAACAATCAACACTTGCATTAGATTCACCTTGCCACTTCCAGGTGATCCACTCTATTGCCCTAAACTTCAATGCTCAGTCTATGATAACATCTTCAAGAGTTTCTTGCAACCCCTACTTGGAGTTTTTACAATCCCAATCGGTTAGATCTTGCATCAAAATCAGAGTCAAAGACAACATGACATGGAGACTCTTGATTACATTCTTTCGGAACTCTAGAAAATCATGGAAGAATAAGGAGCAATTACCTACAACATTCAAACATCGATCAATGATATTGAAGATGTTTCATTCAAATCAACAATCAAGAAGCAAAAGGAAATGATTGAACAGACTTTGAATCAGAACAAAAAGGTGGAGGAGAAAAAAGAGTTGCAAAATACACTCATGAGACCATTACTTAACTTCGATAGTGATGATAGCAACAAAAGTTTGAACAAACTAAAATCTGGAGAAGGAGAAGACCCTAAGAGTCAAGGCAGAACTCCAAGAAAGACCCCTAGAAGTATTATGGGTTCAGGCAATGATGGCAAGTCAAAGAAGGGAGCTTCTGCAATATCAACTGGTCTTGCCTTCTTTGACAAAAGACAGGACAAAGTCGCTCTTATTGCTGAAAGAAAGGAAGAAGAGGAAAGAAGAAAGAGAGAAGAGACCATGCAAAGAGAAAAGGAACTCGAGGAAATGAAAAGAGCTGGTTCTAATCCATACAAAAACATTTTAAAGCCACAATATAAACTCGATGAGTTGCTTAATGTTCAAAGAGAGGTCAATAAGCCACCCGATAGTCTGTACATTGGACTTGGATTTGATGATGAACCAGGTGACAACAAAAGACATTACAGAAGATACTATGATGATGAACTCGAAAACGTTAAGGACCTAATGGGAGAACCCCCTTTTATCTGCTATGACTTAAAAAGAGGTCAAACCAGAGGAGCCAGCAAAGGTTGGTGGCCATTTAGCGGCAACAAAGAGGATGAATCAGGAGCAACTAGTACTGAATAAGTGGTTGGAAAGTTCAAATGCCTTATTGATATTGTGAGTGAGGGAGAAAAGAAGGAATTTGAAGAGATGAAAGCCTAGAAACTTCATGATTTAAAGGTGAAACTAAACAGTCTTTCATTGAGAAAGAAAGGAAAGCCTCTTGACTTTAACTTTGAAAAGCTTGATAGTGCTGAGGGCAGAATGAAGTTCAGACTAGAAATGGAGAACCTCGGAGTCGCTCACTTGAACATCACAAAGCAGCTATCAAACATGCAAACTGGCGAAACATTGAAAAGATTACTTCTTGGCAAAAACAAGTGCATTGTTAGATTATATGTCATCAGTGCCTATGATCTATCATCTAGGGATAATGGCTCAGATTCTGATCCATATCTTAACATTGTATTGGGAAACAAAATATACAATGAGAGAGCAATCTATCAGGAAGATGAACCTAACCCAGATTTTCATGCAGTCTATGATTTCGAAGCATATTTCCCTGGATGTCCACTTCTGAATATCTAAGTTTACGATTACGATGACTTATTCGGAGATGATCTTATTGGAGAGACTAAAGTTGATCTCGAGGACAGATTCTTCTCACCTGAGTGGCAATCAATTAAAGACAAGCCAATTGAATACAGACAGCTCTATCATTAATCTTCAAGCATTTCCCAAGGAGTCGTTAAACTCTGGGTTGATATTATTCCTACTTCTATTGCTAATGAAGTTGAAAAGTTCGACATTGCAAAGAGACCACCAGAACAATTTGAAGTAAGAGTTTGCGTCTTCGATACTGAAGAAATAAAGATGATGGATGCTGAGGGAACATCTGATGTGTTCATCAGAACATTCTTTGATTCTAGAGAATGCACTAAGGAAACTGATACTCATTTCAGATGCCAGACTGGAAAAGCTTCTTTCAACTACAGACTTCTTTTCGATTTCAGTTACCCAAGAAAGAAGAATGATTACATTTTACAAGTACAAGCCTTTGACAGAGACTTCTTCAAGTCAAATGATATCATTGGAGAGGGCAAAATTGACCTTAAATAAGCATTTGAGGATGTGATGCTCACCAAGAGACCAATTAGTATAAATAAACAGTACTATCAAAAGATCTTAAAGGAACAAAACCCCAAACTTGAGATGAACTTCAAAGATGACAGCACATTCTGGATTCAACTTACCACAATCGACTCAAACGGTAAGATTGAGAAAACTGGTAAAGTCAGAATTCAAATTGATGTCTACCCTAAAGCTATGGCTGAAAACAACTAAGTAGGAGAGGCAAGACAAGAACCTAACTGCAATCCATTCTTGCCACCACCCATTGGCCGTCTCAGTTTCTCTCTTAACCCACTTAAGATGTTCGTAAGTTAAACCTATTCCTTTTTACAATACATTTTAGCAATAACTTGTGGGCCCAGCTATGAGAAGAAAAATCTACTGCTATTGCTGCATGATTGCATTGTTGGCCTTATGTATTATGTGCTTCCCAATGATACTTAGTAACTTATTGGTCAGTATCGTCTTCTGATCCTCTATAGATCATATTAAGCAGGGTTATTTATCTTAAATTACTTTCAACTTGAGTTTATAAAAACATATGGGGTTTTGGGGTTTTGGGGTTTTGGGG